GGGATAACATTTTAATAAAAATAAATTCGATCAACACTTTTGTTTGCTCAGTTTCGTTTGCCAGAGCATTGCCTGCGGTTGCCGGATTTCGCATATGAATAATATTTATTTTTGGCAGCCGTGGAATGAAATCGAAAACGGAAATAAATAATTCCAATAAAATTTAGTGGACTGCGAAAATTGAATTAAATCGCCGAGTTTAATTTAAAGATGCAATTTGCGCATGGAAATATTTGTTAGTGGCTAAAACTAGATAAATAAATCGGAATTTATGATTTTTATAATGAGCTATTTAGGATTTATTATTATTTGGTGTATTTGCAGAGTGCATTACAAAACCAAATTAAAAAAAATAAATTAAATTAATTGGTTATTTTAATTATAGGTACCTGATTCGAAAAAAAATGGTTGATAATTATAAATTTGAACAGAAATTAGTCCTACTTTTAGTTTATTATTATTTTTAGATTTAGTTCCTAAACTTGACTGGTGACCTTTAAGCAATACACATATTCTTAAAAACATTTCTTTAGATAGCAATCGCGATTTATGGTTGGTCCCTTCACCTGCAACGTCCAACTACTTTTACTATTACTATTATGGCTTTGTGCGAATGTCGTCGGGGTCGACTTCCTCGCTTCCTTGGCAATTACAAATGTCACCTTCCACATAAACACATTGTTGTGCAATCAAACAGACCGTAAATAACAGAAACCATCCGAATTTACGAGGCAGCCCGTCTGGTGGGTAGTGGGTAGTTGGCTGCGGAGGGTGTTTCTGCACTTCCGTTGCATGTCCGTCTTCGTTCGCTTTTATTACATCCGGTCCGAGGTTGGGGGAGCGAAAGGTGGAAAAGGAAAGGTCGAACATGGCCACGAAGTACGTCGAATTGGCATCCGCAGATGGTGGTTATGGTCTCTTTTTTGTCATAACCACGTCGGTGGAACATTAAAAACTCATTTCCAGAGGGTGGTCAATCTTACAATCCTCCCCAAAACAAAAGTCACAGTCGACGCTTGTCGGGCAAAGCTTTTTCCCAACTCGCCATTGGATATTTCCCTGCCGCTTTTTGTGGCCCTCTGGCCCACAATCAATTTTATTGATTTGAATTCGCATTTGATTGCATTGCAATTCGCTCGAGTTTCACTTTCTATAATTGCGTTTTGGCCCAATTTAATTTGGCGAAAGCATAAATACACACAAATACACTCGAACACCCATAAAAGAAAGAAAGTAAAGATAATTTCGCACGTACTTTTCGGGGCGAATAGCCGGCGTCCATTTTCTACGCCGAGTTGTGCGGAACTGACCAACGATAGAGAGGCCCATGGCGAGATTTGTTTATTTTCTAGCCACATTATCTAGTTTTCCCCGCTTTTGTTGGCCTTTCCTGCCATTTGGCCGCTTTTCTTGGCCATTACCATTGCCATTGCCGTTCGGTTGATCTGCGGAAATGGGAAAATGCGAGAGATGGGCCGAAAGAAATGGCTAATGCGAGAGAACTAAATGTTAGGGAAGCAGTTCGCACCACATCTGAGCTGCATTTAAACGTTCAATAAAATGCCACAAAAAGTTATACATACTTGAGCACTTTCTTTCTAAGAGTATATGCAGTCAATTTAACACCATATCACAATCCCAGAAAATTCCAAAAATAATATTGATCACTTGTAAAAATATTCATAAATAAGAATTAATGTTATTAAGTTGAGTTCGCATTATAAAAATACAAAAAATATTCCACTAATGTGTACTCTTAAGTCTAAGTGCCCTTAATTGCCCCTTCCAAGATCATTAAATTTTGTTTCAATTAAGTTGGGCTAATGCCATTCCATTGACACTCAACCAAACCGAATGGAAGTAGAACGTAATGGCTTAATTAATATTATTAACGAACACTTCTCGCTGTTCGCCAATGACCTTCTAATTAAGGTTTTCGCAAGCGATAATCATAATAGCCGGGAGTGCCACGCCCCACGCTTACCGCCCATTTGCACGCATCAAATTGAGCGACAACGAATCCTAAGCGAAACTTTCACCGTGCCGCCAAATTATGAGTTTACACGCAACAATGAGGAACTGTGTGCGTGGGGCCTTGAAAGTTTTCACTTGGCACCATATTTTACCATCACATCCACCCCTCGAGAAATGGGTGCGGTTTGTAATGCACAGAGAAAAAATACTGCAAACTAAAGGAAAATAAAAATATTTTGCAAGGAAAAAAAAAACCGAAAAAAAACCTTTTTTTTACGAAATAAACTAAATATTTTGTTTCACAGTTTAAGAAATTCATAAAATGCTATTAGTAAAACCAAATTACAGGAATATCTTGTATATCAAAAACATGGTTTCTCTCCGTGCATATCCACCGAAAGGGCACGACTCCTAGGAAAAACTTGATTTGACTGGCGTCGAGACAAATCACGTTGACTGGCTCAACATGACAGCTGCCCCAGGACCTAGGACCTGGGACCTCCTCTCCTAGCCCCGTGCCCACTATCCTTGTCTGCTGCCAAGGCAAAGCGATGATAAATGAACCCGCTGAAAGTGACACTGATTTTTGGTCAGCTGCACTTGATTTCCAGTCGAAGCGTGCACACGTTGCGTATGAGTAATGTCTCCGTTGTCAGCGTTTATCGCAGCCCTCTCCGCAGTTTCCTAACCCTCATTTGATTTCCGCACCGCGTGTGGCTGTCGCATTATTGACAATTTTATTAGGCCATTTTTGTTTGCCTGTTTATAATGCTGCCAGCACAAAGTAAACTCGTTAATTTCATAACATATGCGAACACATTTGGATTTCAGTGGGGCAGGGGGAGGGGGCGTGGTTGTGTTTGACGATGTGTTTGTTGATGGGACGTTGACAGCATTCATGTGCGGCATAAAAACGACATCAGAGTCTGGGGAATAAAAAGCGAGTGTTGGCCAGCAGTCCTTGATCGTTTGTCATCAATACTGATTACCATATTTGCGGCTCATGAATAAATAATTGCTAATTTCCTAATATTGAAAATAAATATCATAAAGAAATTTAGGTATGTGAAAAATTGAGGATGAATTACAAATAAATTTTATTTTATAAAATTTATTTTAAATAAAATTTATTTTGTAAAGTTACAAACTTAAAAACCAAACAAAGGAATACAGTCTTTAAAAATTTCTGAAGGCATGATTACTTTTTAACAATTTTTAAAACAATTTGATTTTGTTCCCAATTATTTTGTTATTTATTTACATACGTAACTTAAAGTACTAAAGGTATTTCTTTTTATCAATTTGAAACAGAAACTGCTATTTTAACTGACGAACATTTATACGCATTACACTTGAAATCAATGTTTCCCTTAACCTTTTACCCGTCTACACTACATTCCTTTTCCTATTTCTGCATAATTTTGCCATTTTCGGTTTTTGGAGAGTGAAAAATCCATTTATGCAATGCACGCAAGTGGCACTATGCAAATTCCAGGCCACCAGAGCCTTGCCAAGGCAAAAAAAAGCATTGATTACACTTGAAGAGTCAGTTGGGAAAATTTGCATATTTTTTTGAACAGGAAATATAGAGAATCGGTAAATCAGGTCAAATGGAAAGGGAGGTGGATATATTGAATGAAGGGGCGTGTTTGAGGTTGGGATATATATTCTAAGTTCAATATTGAATTGGAAGCGTGGATTTCACTGGCCTTAACTTCGAATTTTGTTTTTCTCGGACTTCGTTTGAGGTATCAAGGCTTACTTGTTTTTCGATTTAGGAATTAAAGCATTAAAGACGAAATTCTCTTTAAAATACATTTTTCAAATTCAACGGAAAGCGTAATTTGTTGGAGATTATTATAAAGTTTTTGAAAATAATTCGCTATAAAATATTTTTTAAATTGTGTTTGGTTCTTACTACAAATTAAAATGGAAGGCAAATCAATGGTAAAAAATTAAGTGCACTAAATAATTGCAAAAAGTTTTTGCTTTTAAGTTTTCTTTCTAACTTCTAGTTAAGTGCAGAAGTTAGTACGAATTTTCTCTCAACGTTTGTCTTAATTTCTGGCACTTTAATTAATGTCAAACATTCGCCACATGTCCATAAAAGTGTATTTTGGGCCAACATTTGTTTTCCCAGAAAAGTTCAAAGTTCAGACGCGTGCCGATGGAGAACATGACTGACAATTCCCGAGGGAAAAGCGGAGAACGCAACAGTTTGCCATAGCATTTAGGCCCAAGATATTTCTTCATCCTCCTGACATTCGGACCATTGAAGATGATAATTGCGGAGGCGGCAGTCACTAAAATATTGAGAACGCTCCATTGAACAAGTCCTCGTAAATCAAACGCAATGAGCTTCGCTGAGGGTCGGAACCTTGCCAGGACATCCGCCACCTCCACTTAGCCCCTCCTCCCACCAAACCAATCTGGACAAAGTGCTCTTAAAATTCGATGAGCAGAGCTAATCGCCTTCGCTGTTGGCTCAGCTGAGCTCACTCAATGGTCGGCAGTGTTTGCTATTTTGGCAATTATATTAGGGGCAAAGACAAATCAATAAATGTGTAATTACAGGAACTGGATTTTGGGCAAATGGTCGATGGCCAGGAATCAACGAGGAGGAAGGGTGGAAAGTCTGGGAAAGTAAACACACAAAAGTTTACTTCATTTATTGTTCTATCTATCTTACTTTAAGAAGCTTTGGTTATCGAAAATATATGCAATAATTTAAATATTACTTGCTTTAACTTATATTTTGTGGCGGTTCTCGGTAACTGATATTTTGCCTGACATCTTCCCTAACCAAATCCGCTTTGGAAACTAACTCCGAGAAAGAAAACTTTGAGATACGAGTATGCAAACAATATTTCCGCCCCGCAGCTCCGGCTCAACTTACCATGTTGATACTTTGTTCTCTCGAGTTTTAAGCTAACCCAATCTCCGATTTCCCATTGCAGCAAACCAACTGTGACGTGCTCTTAGATGAAAGGAACGTGCGATGCAATTGAATCCAAGCAGACAAACTGAAACGCACTACTGGATTGTAAGTATGCCTTCGGAGTGGACCTTGAACTTTCGTTTAGTTTATTATAATTTTCACGACTTGACAACTCCTTGCGGTTGCAATTATCGAGGCATAAAAATGGCAGGCCAAAGCGCTAAAGTCGTTGCCAAAAAATAGTTAGGCGGAGTGAAGTGGCCACAAATGCTGAGTGAAATGGTGGAAAGGCTGATGTGGCATTGTCTCTCAATTGGCAGGATGCCAGGCTGGCAGGAAGTTCCTTTGGTGGCAGGATGAGCCCAAAAGCCGGAGACAAAAGCCGCCTTCGAGTGTGTGTCCTGGCAATAGAATTTTATTGCCCCCAAATTGTTTGGAAAATGGCGAATTGCCGGAAAATGAACGCCTGTCCTTTCAATTTGTATTTTTCCCATCTTGAAAGGGTTAAAGCGGAGAGCATTCGATAGGGAAACTATTTCGTACTAAAAACTAAATCTATCCACCTATCTTAATACTTCAAAGAGTTAAAGCTCAATCTAAGGCACTTCATTAAATTGGTCAAATAATAAAGTGATATCTTTCTCACAGCATTCCAAGGTAACTTCCCCGCTTCCTGGCGATGCATCTTTCATGATCTATCCAGACATTTTGCTCAATAAATCATTCGTGACCCCATGCCCCAATGAAACGACAGATTCCCGCACACACAATCTGATTTCTATCGACTCGTGTCTGAATTGACATTCTTTGGCCTCCGCTCTGACCCGAAATGCCAACTGCAATTGACATTTCTGGCTGCAAAATTGATGATCCGCCTCCGAATCTGATTCGGAATCTGGGTCTGACTTGTCCGTCTGTCCATAAAATTAAAAAGATTATTCTCGCCAATGGTTTGTAACCTCCGCAGGCTGCTCCCATAAAGCGTGAAAACAGAAATACAACAAAGTCCAAGAGGGCGTGGCCTTGTCCGGTAAGAAAAAGATTGAAAAGTGGGTCGGAAAATCTAATGAACCTTTTACAAAGATGTCAAGTTGTTCGACGAACTTTACTTAAGGAAAAGCCAAATTGGGAATGTTTTGGCGGTGGGGCAAAGACCTTTTTGCCAACGATGAGAAACGATTATTGAAAGGTCAGCTGATAAGAAATAATTTATTATTTTTAGGAAAAAAGGATATTATTAAATATTTAAATTTGTAAAATCATTTGATTAAGCAGCTGAAAGAAAATAAGTTTGGTTTAGCACAGAATTAAAAGGAAAAGAAAAGGTTTGATATAGGAACAAATATTAAATAATGAGTTTTGATGAGGCGCCTAATTATACAATTAATTAAAATGGACGTTTTGCTTAAGACGATATAAATATTTTTCAAGGAATTTTAAGGACTTGAAAAAATGTGTACTTAAGGAAATAAACAAGGCTGTTGATTGATTTCATTGGTTATATAGTGCTTTCCTTAAATCTATAAATTGCAGCTACTAAATAATAGTTATAAATTATCTATTAATATTACACTGCAGTAATATTATAAAATGTTATTTTTCTATCTCTTTCAGACCCTTTTTTGGTGTGCCTTAGGTGGTTTGATATTGGGTGGAATTGTTGTCATTTCATACTGGATAAGACGATGCAGGTATGTATTTAACAATTCACCAGGCTGTACCCGTTGTGTATTCTGAAAAACATGAATATGAAAATGTATTCTGCAATATGCGTTGACAAAAGCGCAGCCGGAAAACTCTTCAATCCAATTAGTCCGGCAAAAATGGTTTGGGCCTGGTTTTCGCTCTGTATCTCTGCATTTGTTTTTTCGTAAAAAATCTTAAATTGAGGAGGGGACTAAGCCCCGCTACACGTGAGGCCCCTCGGAAAAGCGGAGACAACGTGAACGGGCCAACGACCACAGCGAATGCACGTGGGGATTTTCACCAGCCCCTGCGGAAAAGCTAAACTGAACTGTCGGGTGGCTTTTCCAGTGCAGCGCCGAATAGAACAGAGAGAGACAGCTCGTCCTCTATGAGCTTGTGGTGACATTAGCAAAGACGCAAAATTGCCAGTTGGCCGAGCAGAACAACTGAATAATTCAGCCCGGCAATTGGACGGACCGACGACTGTTTGAGCAATTAAGTTAATGATGCAAGGTCACTGGAAATGGGCCTGGCCAGGCCCGGGGCCCTTTATCTCCGCCCTGCCCCCTCGGAAAATGGTCGAATTTGGGGCTGGGGCCTGGCCGTTCTCCCCAACAATGACGCAGTTGACTTTCGGCTTTTTAGAGGGCGGTGACCAGTGGGTCTCCTCACCCCCTTCCCGTTTCCATTCCCACTCCAGGATCCATTACGACTCTTGGCGCCACTTCGTCCGGACAGACAGTGAAAAATACATGCTATAAATATACAGTAGAACTTAAATAAATCAAACTGCCCAATACCAAAATAAATTCAGAATTCAGTTTTGTAAAGAAGTTTTTAAAAAATTGTATTCCGTTTTTTTAACCGTTTAAAAATCAATGAAATATATCGTAATACCAGAATAATACAGAAAAAAAACTTATTTGACTCAAACATAGAATTAATAAATATATTTTAGTGGTTAGGAAAAATTCGCTACAATTTGGAAGCCTTGGCTAGAAAGTACCAGAACATTTTTATAGAACTTGGACTTGTAGATGTCAGACTGTAAGATATAAATTCATATTAAAGGACACGCACTATAAGGACAACTGACCGCGCCGAACGGCTTCCATTTTCATTTTCCATTTCCATTTCGCTTCTCCTCTATTTTCATGTTGGCTTCACGCGAGGCCGGCGCGTAAAAAGTTTTCCAATTTCCATATGGAGCGATCAAAGGCAAACCCGCAAACAAACAAACTGTAATATTTGCATACAACCGAATGTCCCGGGAGTAATGGAAAGTGGAAGAGGGAGTGGATGTGGGTGGCTGTGAGGTGCGGGTGGTGGAGCTGGTCAGAGCGAAGGTAAACAGTCGTTGAGCGGGTCATGATTAATGTGTCACGAAGTGGGCAACATCACGACTATTTGCCTCAAACACACACCACACACAATTTTAATGGCGGACATGGCACAGTGGGAAATGACCAGTTAAGCAAGGCTAATAAAAAGTTAATGGGTTCAGGAAACATTTGGTGGCAACTATAAATTTTCAATAAAATATAAATTCAACTTTGAAAATAAAATAAACAAAAGACTCACGATTCGTTTTGATTAAAATTATGGGACACCTAAAATTATGATTAAAATGTGAAAATATAAAAGGTTTTCATAAAACCAAAATGACCATTTTAACACTTTATAAAAACGAAATTTAATTTAAAATAATGGCTAGTGCAGTAGTTATTTTATTAATATGGTACATTAGTAAAATATTGAAATATTTTATAAATTTGATTTCTAAATACGTAAGTTAAAAAAAGTTATATAAAAAAATTATAGATATATAAAAAATGTCCGTTAGCTTAGAAAGTTTTTTTATTTTCTGTATAGAAAATGCATTTTCATCAAAAGAGTCCCTTGGCTACTAAACTTAACTGTAATTTCCCTATCCCTTAGCCGCAGTAAATTACAATAGCATTACAGAAACAATTAACCATTAAATACTCCCAGCCAAAAACCTGCTAGCTTGACCTTGCCCTTCTTGGGCCGGTAATTCCATCCTTATCGCTGGCCCCACGGTAAATTATCCATACATTGTTAGCCCATTGTCAAGAAAAACAAACTGGCATGCCAAGTTCAACTGGGATTCGATGGTTGGGGCTGGCCCGTTCGGTTGGCCGAGGAAGAGCAAACAAGAATGGAATTCATTCCATAGACGAGGAAAATTCTTGGCGAATGCCGAGCGGGCCAGGCGGACGACGCTTGCCATGAGTCAGTTGGAAATTGTCATAAAAATTAAAAATCAATTTTTATAATCCAGTTAGAAGGGGAGAACGCACGGTCACAAGCGAGACAGACAGTCGGTCGGCAGGGGAGCGAATGAAAGGGCGAGAGCGACGAGTCAGCCGCAAATACGACCACAAACATGAAGCGATATGGACACGCAAACACTCTAAGCCACTCACCCACAATCGGTGGTAGTACCAACTTACACCGACGCATATACACACATCGGTATCCAAGTATATATGGACAAAAAACACACCTCAGTCCGACTGGAATGAAGAAAATTCATACTTTCTGCCCCAAGCGAAACGATATTCGAATCGCACCTTCATTAACGGACGACCCGAGCACCGTGTTGGCCACGTTTTCATGGCTTAAATATTCAACCAAGTTCGCCTAAAATTTCGTCGCGTCAGCGAGTGAACTACATAGAACTTTCAGAACTTGTTGTAAACTTTGAAAAGTTAATTTCGGTGCTCCCCAAAAATTCTAATCCATTACATGGCACGCGGCCGTCAACTCTTTGCCAACTTTGTGACGTCCCGAAACTATTTAAAAATTTATTAAAATTTGTCTGACCCAATCAACAATGAGTGCAACCATAATGAAGCCGAAGAGGTCGTGGAAAGTGCTGTTCTAGGGCGGAGAAGCCTTCAATCGTCGAAAGCAGGTGCCACTCCGCTCATCATCTCCATCATCATAACTTTTAATGTGCAATTCTATTCTGGTCTCTGCAATTTTCGTGGCAGATTAAATGAGCTTGGGTGGCATGTAATGACGAAAATTATGGTCTTGTTCTGTGCAGCAAATGAAGGGGACTTGTAGATAGATTAATCAAGCTGGAAACGGAAAATAAAGGTGGAAGTGAAAATATAAGATGATACAGACATTTATTAAAAAATATAGTTGACGTAACAAAAGCGATTCCATTCCTAGCATTTTTTCTCATTTTGTTTAAATAATTGTGCTTATTGTGGTTAATTAATCAAAAAGTTAACAAAAAATAATAAATAAATATACAAACATTCCTAGTAAAACCAACTAAATTGCGCAGAAGTTAATTTTTCTCGCGGAAGTTTCCCCCAACGTCTTAATCATTTTGTTTTGAAAGCCCGCATAATACCCAAAAAAATAATTAGTAATTGCCTAAGGGCATGAAACATTTGTCAGTTATTTTTAACTCCTAGCGTGAGTAATTTCTTGAAACTAAGCTCTTTCCAAAGGCGATTCAATTAAAGTGCCGAGAATTAATGTCTGAAACATCGAACTGAGCCCCCTATTGATTAATGATATCTGTTTCCATTTGTGGCCCCTTCCTTTGCCTTCATCGCGTTTCTTACTGCCATTTACCGAAATTGACAATTTAATTTGCAATGAACAAGCCAGTGACGGACAGGATAATGCAATAATCAAAGTGAGGGATAAGCCAGAACTCAACTCACATATCGTGATTGTGAATATGAATACGAATTTGACACCCAGACAGGTGGAAAAGGGAAAGGGGCTTCGCTAGTGCACACCTGAAAGCCAAAAGAAAATAAAACGAACCACTTACAGCGCTCCCAAAAGGAAAATCAATAAAGTGTCTTGAAAGTAAAAGGCAGAAACGAACTTTGAGCATTTGTGTGCTGTCCCTGATTAGATAAATGGCCCGAGGAGGGGTTGTTCGCACAGGGCAAGAACAAATACGATTAAATCGGCCCACAATGCATGCAGAAAACACAATTTAAAATTAGAATTAGACAATTAGACAAATAGGCCGCCGCGGGGGTGGCGGTAGAGTGCGGGAAACACGTGCAAAAAATGGGGCTGCTTCAAACATACCAGGTACTCGTACTACATAGTACTCACGTTCCATACAAAGCTCAATGTCACGCAGTGCACACACACGAAACGAATGCGGCACTTGAGGGGAAAAAGGCGCGACACACGGGGCGTATGATTTATTTAAGCGTCTATTAAAGTCCTTTCCATTGTTTTGCCGCCGCTACTGCCGGCGTAGAAGTGGTGGCTTTTATTGCTGCTGTGGCTTACTTTTCAGCGTGTGAAGGACATTCGTTGAACTGCAACGCTTTGCTTTCGGTAAAATAACTTCAAAAGTTTTGCATGTCGAAGGGGCGTGTGCTTTTTAATTAACAAAACAGCAGCCACAATAGTGAGTGAAGTGCGACGGTATCTGAAATTGAAATCGGATCTATAGTGTCTGCGTCAGATGTTTTAATTGCTGCTCTGGCTAAAACAAAGCGGACACTTGAAAAACAGTAGAGCCCCGTAATTGAAAGAGTGAAATTTGTTTCATTTTTTGCCACAATTAATTGAGTTGAAAATTTGAGAAATGTCAGGAAATGATGGACACTTTATTGTTACCTAATTGGCCTCTTTATTTATTTCGTAATTAAACAAGGGTAAAAAGGTAATGCCAATTAATTATCTGCCCTTTATTTTGTAGGGAGACCTGGGGTATAATTTTTAAAAATCATTAATTTCTTACAAATAAATGGAAATATTTATTAATTTAAAAGAAAAATATAATTACCAAAGGCTTTTTTCTGTTTTTCAAAATGTTTACTGTGTGTATCCGGCGAAATCCAATTAAACCTAGAATAATCACCATCAAACGCAAACAAAAAATTAAACGATTGTCCAATTGAAACGGGGAAATCAATTAAATTATGTAGATATAAGTCTGCATATTGGAATCGAACGGGGTCAAGTTGATTTCGCTCCCATCGCTATTCATTAAATGCTGTTCTCCCACCGAATTCCCACCATTCACCCTTGCAAAACGTAACAATCGAATTGAAAACTAAATTTCTGTAAACATCGAACCCTGCATTTAGGTGTCTTGCCTTTTTGGACTGTAGCGAAGTTTGCCTAAGAGATCGCAGTCGGTAGGTAAATTTGCTTTCGTTGCATCAGCAAGTCAAGTTATCGAGCGAAGCAAATTAGCCAGCAAATTGAGAGCAAATCAAATCACCAGAGCAAAGCTAAAAAAATCCACAACTTTACACAAGCAAACGAATTATGATTTTCCAAACTTCAATTGGCTGCTAAAGTATCTACACTCAAGACACGCTGAAATTTGTTAAATTATTCCTTTGAGTTCCACGCAATTCTTTTATGCAAATTTCCTAAAATTAGATTACGCTTTTATACAAATTGGCTGTAAATTAGTTTAGTTGAATTGACAAATTGGCCTATGCCCTAAAGCATGCTTTACCCTTCATTTGATTATCCTTTCCTTCCGTTTCACAAAGAACACATTAACAGAAAAACAAAGGACTTGGCAAAGTTCGTTATCAAAATGCTTTTGTGATTGTCTTTTCCAGCAATAATTAAATCCAAGTTATTTTACACTCCTTGAACGATTGTTGAGCAAGTGCAACTGCCGGGGTGATAGAAGTTGCTTATATAGCTTATGATTTCCCCATTTTACTTTCCACGAAGCGCTTCTGTCCGTTCTTGTGTTTTTTCTCTTTTCATTTCGTTGCTGTGCAAAGTCCGCGTTTCCGGATTGATCAAATTTTAAATCGTTCTACCGCATATTTCTTTCCATTTCTCCGTGGCCACTCAACTTTTGTTCGAAACTCCCCCACCAAACAAACACTTGCAAACACCACAGGACACTTGCAGCGAGATCAACCAGCCGGCATCGCCGCATCCGGAGCCGGAGCTCATCATCAGCTGCCACCGGGATCAGCGGGATCAGTGCCATCGGGATAATATCCAGAGGGAAGGCAAAGTCATCACCCGATCACAATCATCGGCGTCGACCGCGCCGCATGCTCCAGTGCATCAACTGAAGCAGCAGCAGTCTCTGCCCACTCCTCTAACGCAGCAGCCCAGCCACAATCCGCAGGCCCCCAAGTCCGTCTCGATCCTGGTCTACAAGACCCTGAACACGGTCTTCAAGAGCAGCCGCAAAATCATCGTTCGCGTGTGTGAGGTGGCCAGCGCCAAGAAGTCCTTCACCATGTTCAAGTTCAACAAGGCCGCGCAGCAGCAGCGGATCGACAATCGGAACAGTGCCGTCACAGGACACGATCCCTTCGTCCGACCACCCGTGCCCGAAAAGTGAGTGCTCCGAGGTCCCGAAGGTTAGGGAACTTAAAGCGGGGGAGTCCTTGAAAAGCTTTCAGCATATAAATCACCAATATTTCGACAATACTCTAATAATTTTACAAACTTAAAAAATACGTCATATAAGTTATAATTTTGTTTTATATTTGAGAAGAGGTTTCGCATTATAACCTTGCTAAATTTTTTTAGTTTTACGCAGACTTTTTTTTAGTAGACATAAATTTTTTAAAAGTTTTTCCAAATCTTAAAATATTTGTATGACATTATCTTAAAGATTTTATGAAACCATTAATTTTTAAAAGACAAGTTAGCAACATTTTTAATTCTAAAAGAATGATCTGAATGCCAAGCAAATGCTTTTCGACCTCTCAAATGGAAAAATGCTTTCTGTGTTTGTCTCTCAATTTGAAATGCAACCGATAACCGATAACCAATATCGAACGCGATAGGAAAGTGAGGAACATTATGAAGAAGCTGCACAAGGCGAACGGCCTGAAACGCTCCAACTCGGCCATCGAGTTCGATGTCTCGGCCCTGACAGCAGCCAATCGCCGCCAGATCTACAGTAGGTGAGTACCCGATCGGCCCGACATGACTATATATACGCCCATGTACGGGTGTGTGTACATAGGACTTTTGCAATGTGCAATTTTGCAATTTAGCAAGCAAAAACTAGCACAGTGCACAGGTTCCTCGAGTTATGATTTAGTTCGTTACACTTTTTTGGTTCCATTCCGTGAAGCTTCTTTGACAAAAGCCGAGAGATAAGAAGAGAACACACACTTATCGCTGTATTTCTTTCGTACATTCTTTTTTGCCAAAAACCCACCAAACCAAACCAAACCAACCGAAAAACACCCACCGCAACCACCATTGTGTACCCTTCTATTTGCAGCAATCGGTCGGCGAGCTCGGAGCAAGATAACTCAGATCTATCCGAGCACTCGGAGAAATCGCCGCTGGTTAGCGCGAGGTTAGACAATCTAGCTAGGCTCTTCTTTAGCAAGTCGATGCCAGCGGAAACCGGAAGTAGAGATACCATAGATTCAGTACTGACAACAAGGTTGCATTTACTACTCTACTCTATACTAAACTAAACTAATCTATTTCGTATTTAGCTTGTACTTACACTTGAAATTCAGCATCCGAGCCTCAATAGTGTACAGATTTCAATGCCAAGTTTTTCTTTTGCTTGCCGAATTTGTTTTCCGTTTTGGTTTTCGTTTTAGTTGATTTATTCTGTTCTGTTCCAGCTCTACAGCACTTTGCATGCCAAAAATGAATAGAAATAAAATCTGAAATGCTTTTAATGTTTGCCACACGTAGAGAAAAGAAATCACCCAACAATTCATTTTATTCGAATTTATTTTTGATGTACCACACATGCACAATTATATACATAGAGATAACACCAGTAATGCCGTGGAAAAACATCTGAAGTGTCTAATGTTTTCAAGAGGTTTGAAAGGCGGCCACAAAAAATAATTAACTTGAAAGCTTTTGTGGGCAATGATTTTTGTAAAGGAGAAAAAATATACCCACTACCTTCTGTTAACATTAAACAGACATTTTGCCCAACTTTATTTGGAAAGTTTTCTCATTTCAAATGAAAAGCCAAAGGCAGTGCCAAAGTCAAAGCATTAAGCGCGATGATAGAATGCATTTTCCCTCAGTCCCTGGTTTTTTCTTTGTTCCAAAGGCAGGTGAAAGTTTGCCAAGGTGAAAATTCCTCAAATTAGATGCCCAGGCACACCGAACAAAAATTGCAAATTAAATTATCAACTCGGCAAAAGTTTGCTTGAAAAGGGCGAAAAATTGATTCGACTGTGTGTGTGTGTGTGAGGGGCCCATCCCCTCGCCCCCACCCTCCCCGCAATTCTACGTGCTGAGGCGTATGATGAATGTGCAAGCGAGCGTGAGCATCTGTTCGTGTATGTAAGTGTCTGTCGATGAGAACGCGAGGATCTGTGTGTGTGTGTGCCCCTAACGAGCAGGTGAATATGCATGTGTGAGTGCCGCAAAGTATGCAATAAAAAATTTCACACACGAGCACGTTAATTACGCGCGGCATCCGAACATTTTGGAGCAACTTCAATGCCGCCCCAATCGAGTTGCTATCTCCTGGCCCTAGGTATCTATATCTTTACATCTGGCAGATAGGTAGGTTTGGCCCTGGAACCGTGCGGTTCACTTGCTTTCATCAGTCGCAAAGGTTGCTATTTATTTTAAAAAATGGCAAAAGCGAAGTGTCTGCCCTGGTTCTTAAAAGGGCTTTATTTTTAATTAGCATTTCTTATTTACGGGTATTGGTTTTGCTCCTTTGTGCTGACTCTCTGGGCTTTCATTTGCTTCGGAGGAGATGCTTGTTTTGTAATATAACGAATTTTAATTGAAAATTTATTAAAAATCGTGTATAGTTTGAAATGTAAATAAAAGACCTTTGTTTTCGACTATCTTAAAAATATTCATTGCAAAATTGGAATACTCTGAGTTAATTTAAAGTTTAAAATAATAACACAGTTGTCTTCTTTTCATATTATTCGGTTTTTTCTTTTCTGATTTAAGAAGTGTAGTTAAAGGATAATTGCTCAAATATTTAAGGTTTTTTTCTTTCCAGATTATTAGGTTTTTTATTTTCTGATTTAAGAAATATAGTTAAAGAATAATTGCTCAAATATTTAAGGTTTATTTCAACGGTGAATACACCATTAAAATTACCTGAACGTATTTGGTGTTTTTACTGAAATGTATTAAAACTGTTTTTGGCTGAAAAGTCTGCCAGGAAAATCCAATTTATTTCTTCACTTCATCTGAATGCTCAAATCTGCTATCTTGAGCGTTCCCCTCGGTTTTTCGTAGCATTTATCCCTTCGCTTTACCGCCCACTTTCCAGAGTTGACAAACAACAAGTGTGTCGAGTGTTTGGCAAATATTTAAGCTGCAATATCATCAAGAGGATAAACGAAGGAAAGTCACCTCTCCGCTGTGCAACAAAAATTAGCTTAAGTCAACAAACAAACACACACAGTTGGATACTAAAACCCGTTAAAGCTGCAATCGGAGTCAAGGTCTTTTTTGAACAGCAGGGAAATGAGAAATATTTCACATACGCACCGTTGGCCAAAAGCGCAAGCCATGCGCCTAAAGAGACAGGCAATGGGCAAAGAGTTTTCCCAGCTTTTGGTTGTTCTGGTCTAGCTAGCACACACATGAGTACACTGAGGAAAATATTTAAAGTAACTTGCCTTCATGAAATTAATTAAATTACGATTTTTTTAAAGTCACAATGCTACCACAAAGACTTTAGAATATCTCTAAAAATATTAAAAAATAGTATATATATTTTTTTCTGTGTGCCTGTGTGTTTTCATTCCGTTTCTGAAAGTTCTTGTGACGCAATGAAAGTGAAATGGGGTGAGAGGAAGAGAAAGAAGCCTCTTGGCCAACATTTTATGCCACACACGAACACACTTTCACTCTCTTTTTGTCCCTCCGCTGCCCTCTACTCTCCACTTTCTACTGCTTTTCGTTTTGTGCCTTATTAAATTTTCAAACACATGCTAAACTTAACCCGAGGATGTGCTTAACCTTCGCTCTGTTTTGATTGAGTGGCCCGTAAGTGTTTGTTTATGAGCCCCGTCCTTTCTCTACTTTCTACCAACTTTTTTTTACTTTTTCTGCCTTTGTTATTTTGTCTCTTCTTACTATCTCATTCTCGTTTAAGCCTCCAAGTGAGTGCAGTTTGTTTAGCTTTTCTTCGTTCTTTTATTTCGTTTAACAACGTTTCCATTTTCAGTTGCTTTTCTGCACTCTTCTCTTTGTACAACTCTTCACTTGCAACAAATAAACAAAAAAAATAAATTGTTTCCCAAAAATAAAAAACGAAACCGAAATGAAATGATAAACTCTTGCTTCCGTTTCCGCTGCGCCATTGTGCAGGCAGTTACTTCCTCTTCCTCTGGCCCTTCCTTTTGTTTTCCGTCCTCATTGAGTTGCAAATTCCTTCGTCCTGCGGCACCTCCAAAGCTGGCCAACAAAAAATTGTTGTGCTGTCCAAATTATTTTGTGCCTCCCGTTTTTTGTCTAACATTTCAGCAGCAATTGTCTCGTGCCCTGTAGATGTCAATGGTTTTTTTTTTTGGGCGGGCTCCAGGATACTGTTTTGTGGTCAGTTAGATAAGACGATAGGTTTAAATATTTTATAAAGACATGGAGACAAAACAAATTTGTGAATTTATAAGTCTATCTCCTAACCTTCGTCTTCAGTCGTATATTTTAGAGAGTTATTTTATGTAATAGATTGGAGAAGATAAATTCTCTAGTTATTTATTTAAGAATATTAGAAGCTTTTTTCCCACCATATGATTTTAGAAAATATTTAAAAATACAAGAAACAATATATAAATGTTTAAAGGTCAACAGTGTAGATGATTAAAGCCCATATTATATTTCACTTTAATCTTGCAAGAAAATCCCATCAGTTGTAAACCATTGGAATGTTAAGCGCTGATTGTCCTGAAATTCTCGCCAACATGCCTCCTGATGAGCAAGTAAATAAATCTCTGTAAATAAATTATTCAACATGAAACCACATAATTGAAATGGAAGGACGAATTTAAAATATGTTTGCTGTTGTTCAAGTGCGGTCGCTTATGCAAATTGTGGGAAAATTTATGTTAAACGCCCATTCCTGTTTGACGTTGTAAATAAGACCTGTCCAAATGAGTGTGATGTGATGGATGTGTCAAGACATTTTCGAGATAGCCATATCATAATTAGTTATAGTTTTAGCTGTACTATACAAACAAGTTTCCTTAGTTAGCCAATCTTGATCAAAGTATGCTCTCTAATAATTCTATATCTGCAGTATATCGATAGGCCTGAGAACTAACCCTCTGACCTGTTTCAGGCCCAACATCAAGTATCAGTACTCCGCCCTCGACAGTGGCAATGGGATCGTGGAGCGAAGTCCCCGGGAGCGGGCTCAGAGGGAAAAGGCCCTGAATGCCACTCAGGAATGGATTCAGGGGGCCAATGGGCGCTACGAAGTGATCGCCCACCTGGATGAGATCGGTTCGAGGCATGGCAAGAACTGGTTTCTGGTCACAGATGCTTCGGTAAGACCTTTCACTTGATTTTCTTCTTAAATTTGGAGATAAATATATTTTCAACGTATATAGGTCCGCACTGATCGTCTGCTGACCCTGCTACCTCTGCCCCCCGACTGCGTGGCCTTCGAGGATCTCCCGCCAAACGAAAGTGCGAGGGAAATACTCATGGAGCTCCTGGGCTCGCTGCACCATCCGTACATATATCCCGTTCTGGATCTGGGCTTCTTGCGGAACACCTCGTATAACTACGCCTGCCTGGTGACGCCCTTTAACTCGCGGGGCAGCCTCAAAGATCTCATTTATAAGGTGGGTAAAACGAAGGAATTTAAAAAGAAATATAATTTAAATAAATGCTTTTTAAATTTTCATCATTAAAAAAATAATTTATTTATTTTAGAAATTACTCATGATAAATTTTTTGTTTAGACTAATATTCCTAAAAAAACATTTTTTATAACAAAAAAAAACTTTGACCAAATGAAAACTATTGACCACATTCTCTATTTTTTTGCCCCACTTAAAGTTAATTAATCATTTTTCTCCTTTCAGGCACAGTGGAATGAGCCGTGGGCCAGGAAGTACACGCGTAAGCCAAATGGCTTACCGGTGAGCCAGGTGCAGCGCCTGGGGCGACAGATCCTGGAGGCACTGCTCTTCCTGAAGGAGCGCGGCTTTCCGCTTCACGGTCACCTGCACAGCGGCAATGTCATCCTGCAGAACGGGGCCGCCAGGTGAGACCATCGCCGATTGGCGCTCCACTCAACTGTGAACTAATTCAATAATGGCTGAAAATATTTGAAATCGAAATACCCCCAGTCATGCAAAATTCACCGAAATAGAAGCGAAAAATGAATTCAGCCCGAAATGGCAAATTAAAAGCCATTCCCCAGCATCGCTGCCCATTTCAGGGCACTTTAAATGCATGTCCCTGTTTTGGGGAGCCCTCGACGCCCCTCTGTGATCCATGTAACTGTTGTGCGACAACGCGTAAAGCACCTCCCCCACCCCACGCCACCTACCTCCACCACCCACTGGCAAACATCGAATGGGTGTAACAAAAATAAAGCTTTAGCTTTTTGCCATTTTAAAAATAAATGGTCGGCACAAAAAGTTGCTTATACTGCAGCTCGGGGATGGGGCAAAATAGAAGGGGGTTGGGGGGGCCGTGTGCATGCGAGAAATTCCTATAGGTGAAAGTCGATTAAAGTGCGGATTTTTTGCCATTCAAGTTTGCGCCAAGTGCATGACCCAATTTTGTTGCCTTCGTCGCCAGGGTATCGCTGTGTGCATTGAAAAGCTGATTTTCATATAAATTGCTTATACATATGTACAGTCATCGATAGGGCCACAGAGCAGTTAAAAGACCAGGGAGCAAAGGAGCAGGAAAATAGAGATTGTAAGCTGAAAAGCTGATTGACGGAGTGGAAAGAAAAATACTTGCTCAAGTGGGATTGGAATAAGAATCTGCAACTGCTTTCAATGGTAATAAAGATAGATAGATAGATGTGGAGGCTACAGGCTATCAGGGTTAAATCACAGCAATAAAAACATCAAGCAATTAGACAGGGATTTATTTCAGACTCAAGTCTTTAATTACAGGGGAGTTGCAATCACTTACGGTTAGTAGGAATCAATTATTGAGTCTCTTAAAGTAAACAAACTAAACATTTTTAAAAATAAAATATCTGTTAGCTTTGAACCATAACCTATAAAAGTAAAAGTAATTTTCATAAAACAACGAAAACCAATAAACTATACTACCACGGAAACTAGCATCTTCAGAACATCTATTGTCAGCCAATTTGGGAAACCTTTTCCAACTAGTCAGCAATATTCCGCTCTAATGAATACCGAGAATCGCTGGCAGGACCCTCGAACCGAAAGCCCCGGCCAATCCGCAATATACATACAACACTGTGTAGTGCCATAATATTGTCATATCAGGTCTGACATACGCTCTTTGTCATAAAGGCACATCGCAAGCGGGGAAAGGGATGGCAGACGATATCAGCCCCCTCTCGCTCGCACATAAATCCATAAAAGTAGGCACTTTGTGGCCGCCATTTCCACGTGTTAACCATCAATATATATGGGCAGAGGCCGCCATCGACAGCGTTGCATAATTAAGACCGAAAACAAAAGGGATGGGGACATAGGCCATTTAATTATGCATTTTCCGTGACATTTATTCCCTTTATATTTCCGACCATCAGGTTGTCGGGCCTGGAGAACGGCCTCCTGGGCCTCAGTTCGCGCATCAACGCCGTCATGTGGTCCCGATCGGTCACCGAGATCGAGAACGTGGACATCGTCTGCTTCGGCCACCTGCTCTACGAAATGTGCACGGGCCAGGAGCTGAACACCCCCAAGCCGTCCATGCGGGTGCTCGAGATGGAGCTGCAGCACTACCCACAAATTGGCCAGGTCAGTAGAAGCTACAGTCTGCTAGAAAGGGTTTTCCTATATACTAATTGTTTAGTAGCACATTGGCATTATAATTTGTATTTTATTATTTTATTTTTATTTTATTTTTCAGACAAGAAAAAAAGTAATGTATAGTATATTTGCTAACATCCTAGTGTTACAAATTGACAAGATCTTGTGACGGGATGCCAGCGAAGAATTTTACTTAGACTTTGAAATCTTCTTTGCAGATTCTGGAAATATTAGGTCTAATCTTTGAGCCGCCTAGCGGTGTCTGCCCCTCTGTTGAGGACCTAGTCCTTTGCGATCTCTTTCGCAGCATCGATTTGCGCGAGCTGCGCGGTCCCTGTTTCAGTGTAAGTTTAATGCTCTAGTTTTCAGGTCACCACATGTAGAGCGTACTTTCGTTGCAGACAATTAAGCCGAGCCTCAGCAGGTCCACCCTGAACCTGCTGCAAGCGGTAAAGAAGCGCCAATGCGCCTCCCTGGGTCATTCCTTGAGTGAGGCCAACTCGCCCTGCACGCCCCCCTCGACGCCGCACGATCGACGCACTGGGTGAGTTTTGCCCTTTAACCCGCCGACGTGGCTCTTCCACCTAGAAGCAAAATTTGCAAATTATACTCTGTCAGTCACTGGCATATCTCACATACATATTTCCCTCACCACACACACACTGACTCATACACGGTTCATCCTCATGTTTTTCGGTGTGAGAGGAAAAACAAGTCTTGTATGCTCATCAAGAAATTAGCAATTCGGTGTAGGATTAGGTTTTTCCTGATGTAACGCCAACGAGAAGGGAAATCCGAGAAAAGAATATGATAAATTTGGCTATAGATGGTTTTGTAGACAGTACAAATTTATTTATTCGCTGCTTATAAGGCAATCTTAGACACTATATAATTTATCTTAGTGCTGAACAATGTTAAGTTTTCTTTTATGGTTTTAAGTAGCTTTACAAATTACAAACGCCCTTAAATTTGATATTTTTCTAGAGCCTTTGTTTATTTTGCATATTAACTAGTCTAAATTTTTGGGGGTCTGTAGAGCATAAGGACTCCATTTAGTCCCTGAACAAAATTTACAAAGGCACCATAAACTGCAACGCTGCATCCCATATGCATAGGCCACATGTTGGGCGCCATATTTTTCTCTCCACCAGAGTCGCAAATTCTGATAAGTAAGCGAAGAATAATGAACAGGTCGTCAAGGCTCTAAAGTACTTTGGAATTGTAATGAACCAAAATACATTTTTAGCAAATACAAGAAAAATAGACAAAATTGAGTAGACGCAGCACAATCACAGGTGGGCCCCACGTTGGGCGCCAATAAAATCCTCGCACGGACCTGCTAATCCAGTTGGTGTGCACTCACATTTTGGGCTAATAAAGAGAAAAGCACACACACATCCGAGGAGATGTTGAACAAAAAGCAACCAGAATTGGCGAGCAGAGGAGAAAAACTAACGCTGCGAGCCAAGGAAAAGCGGAAAATGTTGCCATAGGCTGTACGATGTGCGTGTGCTTGTGCGTGTCTAAAGGTAATTATGATAATGTCCTGGACTCCGCGCAGCCTGACCCATCCACCCAAAACCAGAATTCAGAATTTAAAATTATGCATACAAGACGGGAGTATAATTGAGTGATAAAAACGAGGGAAACAAGAGAACTAGCAAGAGAAAAAGTCCCAAAATAATAAATACAGGAAAAAAGTGCTCATTTGCTGCCTCATGTATATTTAAGCATCTCTGACCCCGTGTAAATTTACTCTGCTGCCTAACAAAAAAAATTAAAATTATTTAATTAAATACTCAAACGCATGTTTTACTTTCATAACAATTAACAACAATATATGTAGTGGAGGATTTTTTCAACTAAAGTATTTTTTCCGTATGCAATGTTTTACTCTCTCTTTCTCTCCTACCGTACCGCCTACTACTACTACTACTACTACTCAACTTTGTTGTGTGTGTGTGTGTCTATCTATCTTAGTGTTGCGAAAGCGCCCAGAAATCCGTTACCGTTGCAGTTCCCGTTACAGTTGCCGCTACACCAAACCCATCATCTACTACACACATACCGATCCGCTCTTGAATGTCTCTCAACGTTCATTTTTGTTTACATTACCTATGTGTGTGTTTTGTTTTTGATTTACAAACTCTTGCATTTCTGCATTTGTTTATTTACATAACCCGTTCGACTAACAAAAACCAACAACAACAACTACAACTACAAAAACAACAGTGTTCTGCCTGCGCCCTATGAAGTCTTTCGTATGTACTAAACCCAACCAAATCGAACCGAACCAAACCAAAACCAAAACCGAAACCAAAGAAATCCGAACCCAAACCCAAAAACCAACAATGAACAACTCACAAAAAGTATCTCACAATTAAATTTTATAAAACGAATATCGTGTGAAATAAAACCCAAATGAATACCTGAATAAAATTAAATAAAATCAATATACAAACCAATAAAGCAAACACATCATTTTTTGTACGAAAATCCAAGTTTTTATACCAGACGGAAAATTAAACTAAATGCTGCAAAATAAACAAAAATTTCTAAAATGTTTGTTGTAGCCAAATGTGGTAAGTGGCAAAATTTTTGTATGCTCGAACCACCACGTAAAGCTGCACCACCCAGCAAGCAAACCACTCCGCACCACCAAATCGAAACTGCATCGAAGGAGGGCCAGCAGAGTACATAGAATATATATATTTATTTATTTAACATGTGCAAACCACATTATCCAACGCCTTTTGTTTACTTTTGTTTCTAGCTGTGCTGGTTGGCATAATAAAACTTTAACGTTTTCCTTGCTATTTGCTAAACTCTTTTCAATAAATCCCATTTATCCAGCTTGTAATTAAATCGTTTATGTTTGTGTTTATGTTGTTTATTGCATGCCCTAGAGAATATGTATGTATTTGGAAACCATTTGATTCGGCCCGACGAGCTACGTATTTCAGGTCAATTAAGATTAAATATAACAATATATTTTAAACTTTAGACTAACAATTCACTAAAGTATGAATAACTGTAGAAAGATAAAATATGACATTTAAAAGTTCATTAAATTGTTTATGGTTATTGAACAATATATTTTATATCCTAAGGCCCCGAATTAATTTTTAAAGTCAATTATAACTCAGTTTTATTGCAAAGCAAACTTCTGAACGGCAACCTAGACACTAGAAACATGCAACATCAGTATATCATATATTTGCTCCCTAATTGAGTTTACCACACTTTGGGATATCCATGCCATGACTAGAAACTTTTGAACTACATCGGCGTAGCGGCCATTTTTTGGGTCACTAATTGAGTTTTGTGGGAGCAGCCTGAGAGCAGAGCAGGCAACTTGAGCTTGATTGAAAACACGCACGTATTGACGCTTCTAGTGCAGCACACTTTCGCAGACATACTCGCAATCCCAATCCCATCAATGCATTCATCGCATACAATGACATGCCATGGCTTTTCTGCATACCCGAACACAAAAGAATATCGAATCAGGTGCCGGCAGCGTTGCCGGATCGGATCAAAAAAAGAAGGGAAAATTCTGAAATTTCTGATTGTTATTCTCTGCCCTTTTCCTCCCCCACAACTTACTTACCTTTCCTGCCCGGCCAACGCACCACCCTCAGTATCAGCCGAACAATGGACTCATTTGACATATCAAGCGACTCGGAGGAGGGTCTTCTGGAGGAGATTGTCGTCGGTGGGAGCTGCCATCGGCAGCACTTGCTCCGCCTCCAGCAGTGGCACTCCGCCCACTCGTATGTCCACCCCTACGCCTCGGAGTCGCCCATCCACTATTGTGACCCGGCGGCCCTCTATTCGGACGATAATAGCCAGGAGTACCAGGGTCAGGACCCCCAGCCGCCGACCATCCGCTGCAGCACGAGCAGTCAGAGCAACCTGAATGTCCTGCTAGCCGAGGGCGCTGTGGCCGAGGTCTATGAGGAGCATGAGGAGCAGGAGGAGGATGACTTCGAGCCGGAGGAGGAGGCGAGTGGCTCCTCGCAGGGCCCACAAAGGCTTCAGGCTCCGGCTTGCAACTCGTCGGCAGCTGGGGCCTCCTTCAACCACCAACTCACTGCCGACATGTGCAACTACAAGAACTCGAAGAGCCGGCGGCTGGAGTACTCCCTCAAGTGCCTCAAGTACGGGCGCAGCAATCCCTCCCAGGACTCGGCCTTTGGCTCGCTGACCGACAACGACCTGTCCATCGGTTCGTCCAGCATTCGGCTGAGCAGCTTCCAGTCCATCTCCTCGCCCATCGACGAGGGCGTGGAGGATGTCATCATAGCCACCACCACGGGCGGCAATGAAACCTGCCTGGAGCTGGCCACCATTCCCCGGAGCATGGTCTCCCAGGACTCGGCCATATCCTCGCCCTGTCGCGAGAGTTCGCCCAACAACTTTCTGCACATCGACGATGCCATGTCGGGAACGGGATCCACTTCATCCGGTTCGAATTGCGGCTCCTACGGAAACATACGTCCCCAGCAGTTTCCCGTCTCGCTCTCACCGAAGATTTTGGTCACCGCCACCAGCAATTCGAGCAGCTCTTCCCTGGCCTTCACCAGCAACGCCGGTCAGCAGGGTCAGGGTCAGGGTCAGGCCCAAAGCCACGGACAGGGGCATCCCCAGCAGCAGTTCGATCCGCCCAAGATCCTGGTCAATGATCAGAACTCGATCTACACCACATCGCCATCGAAGCGATCTGGAATGATAGAGGTGTTCTCCCAGAAATACCGGGTGAGTACTATTCTAAGTTATATTTAAATGCACTAAGTCCTTACCTTGAGTATCTTAAAAGTTAGGAAATAAAGGAAAAATAACAATTTAAAGCTCAAAAAAAAATAGTAGCACAAAAACTCTTGAGCATCTTTGAGTTAATTTTAAAACAACTACATCAAAAAAAGAATTTTAAATTACATAAGATTACATTTTTATATTTGGAAAATTCGAATAAAAAATCCTTAAAAACAACAATTTTTTCATTGAAGCAGTAAGTATGTTATGCTATGAGAATGTATTTTAGAGGAATTGATTTAGTTATTTTATGCTATTTATCAAATAATATGGACTTTGCTACCAATACTCCCCTGTATTAACTATAGGATTTTAATGACCTCCTGTTATGTTTTCTTAGCACTTTTGATTCCAAAGGCTACGGTAAATTTTGTATTAGTTTTAATCGAAAGGCAAATTATGTTTTTGTTATAACATTAAAAAATATTTTTACTGCTTTTTACAAATAAGTTACTTAACTTTACAACTAGAGTTGGATTGTTAAATGTATTTAAGCCCTGAAAATGTTCTTGCGGTGTGAATGAAAGCTTAATTAGTGTCCCTTCCAGGTGAGCTCCTTCGAGGACATGTCCCCGAAGAGAACCTCCGACAAGCAGCACCTGAAGCACGTGAACCGGCTGGCCTTTCGCTCCTTGGAGGAGGAGCGCAGGATCGACAACGCCTTCCTGCCGATGGCGGATCGCACCCATTCGGACAATCGCGTGAACATGCAGAGCGAGAAGTACAAGAAGCTCACGCACGCTTCCTTTCGCATCAGCAAGGGTCAGGGTCAGGACTCGCCCACGGCCACGCCCACCAGCCAAACGCCCCCCGGCCAGCCGGGCAACTGCATCGAGATGCAGCGAACCGGAAGGCAAACCCTCTGGCGGGACAGCAAGTTCTACCGGAAGAACCGGATCGCCAAGAGCAACGACTCGCTGATGGAGAACAATCCGTCGCCCAGGATTTCGCCCTGCTCGCTGCGGGACAATCAGTACGAGAGCAGGAGCAGCTCCCAGGCCAGCCGGAGATCGCTCAGCGGAAGCCAGCAGATGCTGAGTGTCACCACCAGTTTCTGCGGCAACGGCGGTGGTGGGTCGCGAAACTCGGCCAGGTATTGCAGCTCCAAGAGCGAGGACCTGGGCGAGTCCTCCGACTATCTGCGGGTCATGGATGCCCGCAAATCGTACTCCGAGCGGCACCTGGTGCGGCTCAAGCAGACGGCCATCAACAACACGCACAGCGAGGACGAGATGAGCTTCAACGATGACAATAATCCGACGGTATCATCGCAGGGGGGACAGGGGTTACGACAATGCGGAGCCCAGTACAATCAGAAGGAGCACCACCAGAAGCACCACTATCAATCGGGTGGCGGTAGGTGGAGCAGCAGCTGCTCCATCGGCGGCCACCTGAAGACGACCAATATCAAGACCACCTCGCTGTCCGCCCAGTCCAGCCAATCGAATTTAGTGGCCCCCTCGACAACTGCCAGCTATCGCACGCCCTCCAAGTCCCTCGACCAGAGCATCGCCACCATTGCCATCCCGAGTGTCCAGGCCACCCACAGCACCGCCCAGAAGAAGCAGCAGAACAGCAGCAGCACCACCACCACCAGCAGCGACAACAGCAGCACCACCAGTTCGGTGGACGAGTCGCCCTCGCGTTTGACCCTCAGCGGTGCCGATCTCTCGCGGATCTTCGTGATGGACATGGACGAGGCACCCGGCAGCACTTGCAGCGAGGAGAAGACCCCGCTGCTGGACAGTGTGGAAATGTCCCCGATCAGTCCAACCGATCCGGAGCAACCCGACCTCGACAAGCTCTAAGGGGCCGAGGTCCTATATGAATACTATATACACGACGCACACACTCTACAGACACGTTTTGAGCAGCCGAAATGCAAAGCATGTGATAAAGAAACCAAATATAACAGAAAACGAACGGGGAACCATAAAGTTATAGAACTACTAGGCTAGGTATGAGATGGCAGGCAGGGGAGGTGTTTTAACAGTGTTATGGGGAAAGAGGAATTTATTTAGGTTCTAAAGAATATTTCCCTTTTATATTGATTATAAATATAAATTTTAAAAAATCCACTTATTTGTATTAAAATATTTTTAGAAAAATTCTTGAAAATCCATTCTCAATTTAAAGCCCCAATTAATTATATTCCCTGACCCCATAATATTCGACTTCAACTCCTTTCTTTCCCCAAACACTCTTTTCCAACACTTTCCCCTCTGCCAGTGTTGGTTAAGGTAAGGCAATTCTATTCTTGGTTCAACACAAACACGTACACCCACTCAAACTTACACTGGAAAATATAAATGGGCTGCTCCCGCCTTTGCTAAATCCACACTCAAAGCTTTCTTCTGGTAACAATAATATTTTTCTCTTTATATTGAACTTTAGCCGGTTGCTTTTACAGCAATTCGAAATTAACTAGCATATTTCTTCACTGAAGCTAATCTCTAGACTGCTAAGCCACAAGACAACACAGAAAAACCAAAGGGGTTACCATCCCGCTGATTAGTTGTTTTTTTTAAACAAAACCAAAAGGGAAAACCGTTTTCGAATTATACGGAATTATACAATTTACTTGGTAGTTAATTGAATAGTTAAGACTTGAAAGCTTCGCAGCTTGGCGCATTGAAAATGTTTTACTGTAGCCTAAAATCGTTTTAAGCTCCCAGAGGGGCGTGTTTTAAATATAAATTATAAAAAGCATATTTTAGGGAACTTAAAAACCAGGAAAATAACTAAAAGAGCAAACTAAGCCAAAGACAGTTTAACCATTGAATGGAAAATCCAAGGCAGAGTTGGAAGTACGCGAGATATAACGAAAGAGTTAAACATTTTTTATTCAGTTGCTTTTGTTCAGAAATACCACATTAGCAAGCACTTCAATATCGCAAAGGAAGCATAAATTTTACCCCATAAGAGTTAAACATTATCGTATGAAACCGTAAACGATATAACAATACAGAAATGCAATCAAATTTACTAAGATATCGCAAACGAAAATATCACAAAAGCCACACACAATCGAACACAGAATAAATATCTCACTAGCGATCATATATATAGAAGGTAATATTAGACGCACGCACTTAACTATGACGATCCAGATTCGAATCCCGGTCCAGAACCCAACCCCACCCGACATATTTGAAGAACTCAGATGATCTGCCACAGAGTCGCCCTTAGTTTGATTATTCGTAGTCGATGAATGCGTAGAACATTGTTTACGGGACCCTCTAGAATGTATATGTATGTATCCCCAATATTGTGTAAGTTCATTTTGCTTGGAATTGTTTGTGTATACACGTATGTACTCCCCAAGTAACTCCCGAAAACGGAGAAGCCCTAGAGATCTAACAAATAAACGAGAAAACGACATACATTCAGGAGTTTTATTTGAGCTGTAAAGAAATTAACTATTACAAGGATTGGTAAGGATAGTAAATTACAATTGTTAGGTGTTCCGAGCTAATCAAATTGGCAAATTTTGTCTTCTATAAACGGTGTCCAGCCTTCATTATTTTACAATCGAAAAGAGAGTCCAATGGGCTTCCCAGAACAATTTTTTTGTTCCATACTTTTTGACTACCAAAAATTCTTTCATTTTTCACCCGTGTGGGGCGCATGAGTCTTCCTCAATTGGTTAAAAATGCAATTTTTAGTAAATAACAAAACAAACCTTTAATCGTTATTTAAATACGTATTAATGACTTTTCCCAATATGATTTCCTAAATTTTTGTTTGTTTTGGAATTGACCAAAGGATCCATTATCTCGTATATTTTGCCCGAAAAATATAGGATTGATAATTTGTTTAATTGTTTTAATGGTAACTTCTAGTGGAGTACATGAGTGCAATGGGGGATAATTCCATCCCCATTTAAGTAAAAAGTGACAGAATGTGGTATTCAAAAGTGGACAACAAAAAATTTGTTCTAAGAACGATAACTCCTCGTTTCTAAGTTTGAATTTTCTCGTATATAAAAACTAGTCATTATTCGAAAAAAAATGCGATTTGGCCCATTGTGCAGTTAGTGAGGACAAAATCCTAATCTCGTAAATACTTCTCAGCAGTCACTACAACCTTTTTAAATACTCTACATTTTACCCAACGCTTACATTGTTTCTACATTCTACGCCGCCAAGTGTCGTGTCGGATCGTCGAAAAGAGCACTGCTTTCGACCGCAAGTGGTTCTTTTTTGTCTAAAGCGGCTGTTATTTTTGAAATCCAAGCAGTTATTATACCCATTACTCGTAGAGTAAAAGGGTATATTGTATTCGTGCAAATGAATGTAACAGTTAGAAGAAAGCATTTCCGACCCTATAAACTATATATATTCTTGATCGGGATCACTAGCCGAGTCGATCTAGCCATGTACGTCTGTCCGTCTGTCTGTCTGTCTGTCCGTATGAACGCTGAGATCTCGGAAACTATAAAAGCTAGAAGATTGACATTTTGCATGCAGATTCTAGGAGTTCCTAAGCAGCGCAAGTTTGTTTTAAAGGAGTGCCACGCTTCCTCTAACGCCCACAATCGCTTATATACGATTTTAAAAATTTCAATATTTCGGAAAAGTAAAAATACAGTTATATTGTGTTTATCAATACCTATCGAAATGTAGCAGAAATTTTTTTAATCGGACCATTCGTTAAAAAATTACGGCGGATCAAAGTTTTTATCTCCATCTCCTTCGCACTCCCTTTAGCTAAGTAACGGGTATCTGATAGTCGCGCCACCCGACTAAACCGTTCTCTCTTGTTGGCGGGCCAATGTCGCGCAGTTTGGCCCACACGCTCACACGGTTTAAACTTTACTCCGTGACTCAGAAATAACTTCGGGCTATTTTGATCCTGAATTCGGTGGTACGTCAATTAAATCGAATTTCACGCGGATTCCGCTCGAATAAAGAAGTTGATTAATTTTGAAAAACAAATTATGAGAATATATAAATGGTATTTATTTATTTCATACTTTTAAAAATAAAAATTAATTTAGTAGCTGTGTTAACAAATATATACAACTTTAAAAGGAATATTTTTTTAAAAACCATCCTTTAGGATTTTCCGAACACTTCGAGTTGGGCAAGCGTGACCAATAAGCCCGGAAGAGAAAAACGAATATTTTCCCATTCGACGGGGGGGAGTGGCACACCCATTTCATAATTTAGTTTCCATATTTATGATTATGTCCTGTCATGTCCTGTGCGTGTTACTGTTGCGCCGTGCATCCAGCATCCTAAGCAAACAGTCGATGAGCATATGACAGCAAACTAATAAAATTCAGCACCCCTCCTACCTGACGAGGGTCCTGTCCGCTCTATTTTGCCCTGTAAATTTCTCCATTGTTTCAGGAGCTGCAATTATGGGAATTTGGCAATTTTACGGACACCGAAACGAAACTGGACGGTGGTCAGTTGGTCTAACAATATAATTTACAGCGCTTTTGTGTAGCGAGGCGTGAATTTACTACTCAAAACTGAACCCCCGTCGCATTTTACAGTCCGACTCTAGTCCAGTTAATCGCATTTGTTGGTTTTGTAATTATAATACCGGGCCAGGGAAATGATTTTGGCATTTCAATTTGTACTGCCGACCGCAGTTTTCGACCCCTTTTCCCTGGTCACTTTCGATTTTAGTATTGTATCCTTAGCGCAGGCGCAGCTGCTGCTTATCCTCCCTGCTTTCTGCGCGTGCCGTTCGCAGCAGGACACTGTGTCCATTCACATCCTGGCAATGTTTTCCCTCGGTTTTTCACCTTCTGAGTGGCAATTTCGCTGTCGTTAGTTTATACAGCAAAAAGGATTAAAAGGACTTCTCGCGGTTGCCTTTGTGCTCAGCCAATTTACCGTAAAATTCACTGTTTTTCTCTCTTTCAAATGTGGCGGGTTTTGGGTTGTTCATTGTGTTTCTTCTTTTTTTCGGACTTTTCCCCGTTTTTTTTGCGCACATTTGTCAATTGTTTTTGTCGCGGTGAAAGTGACAAATTCCCGGTGTCCCATCTGAAGATTTATGTCCCGATTCAGCCATTCAAGTGGTTCAGTGGTTGAGTGGTTCGGTGGTGTCAGGCACATTGTTTCTATCTCTCAAGGGTTGAGGGGCGTGGCCGGTATGCGATCGAAAGTCAGCCGACGAGATTTATGTGATGCAACTGCAATTTTCGGGCAGATGATCGCAGAGGGAATTCACTCTAGGTTGATATCGAAAAAAGGTAGAACAACATGACAATGTTTAAAAAAAAAGTTACAAATTAGATAAAAAGAAATTGTCAGATAACACAGGGAAATTATAAGTAATTTAAAAAAAACTACCATTATCAAATTCAAGCTGTTTCAAAATGGTCTCAAATAGCAAAACCAACACCAAACCGGGTAAATATTAAATGTTCAGCGACCCGTTCTTGGACATGGTCAATGCCATGTCCAGTGTCCGATTTCCACTTGGCCATTTTCACAGCTTGGCAAGTGTTTTTGTCATTTAGCTCTACTCCGTTTTCCGCACACGCGAAATTATTCTCGCATGAAAATTGAAAAACATGTTCAGGTCTCGCGGGGGAAACTCAATACGCGTGTGGACCAACATTGTCATTCATTCATTCGCCGACCCATTCATACAGTCACTTATTCATTCAATATTCTCGGCAAACGCATGTCGATTTTTTAATTAAAAAATATTTTCAATCGGCTGGCCAACTGCTGGGAAATTAGCCTCAAGTGCCCTGGATTGTCAAGCTGTGCGCAGGCGCAGTCGAATTGTTCTAGTCCTTTTTTGAGTCGCAGGCGCCTGTTCAGCTGTCCATAAATAATCCATCTATTCCGAAGTTGTGTAACGCCGATTTCAATATTTTTTACGGCCTTTTTTCGAGTGACCTCCCCGTGTTGACCTCCTACGTTCGAGGGATGGTTAATCGACCTGAGTCAAAGTTTTGTCAACGATTATTTATGATTCTCGCTGTTTTTTGGTGGATGATTCGCATTTTTCGGTACTGGACAGAGTGAAGTGCCTCTGTTGTGTACATAAATGATTTTTTGCTGTTTTCCTAGTTTAAGAGATGTTAAACTGCATTTACAAGTTTGTGAAAGGGGATGAGCCAAAATGTTTGGAAAAAGCAAAGGGCTGTTAGTTAAAGAGTCAAACGAGCTATACAAATTTTAAAATTTATTTAGTTAAAATACTGCTTATACATTCGACTAAATGGAAATTTTAAGTAATGGAAATTTTAAAATAATCTCTTTGGAAATTTTAAGTAATGGAAATTTTAAAATAATCTCTTTGGTGCATTTACTGTAAATAGTTGAGATTAGGTATTCAGGCCAAACGCTTCCTCCTAAATAATTCAATTCACCACCAATTTATTTTATTTCCACTTTACTTTGTTTTTGCTATTATTTCATTTAATTTTTCCCCAAATTACCATCGAATACCTCGCAGCAGCACGCCTATTATGATACACCATTATGACATAATTTAATACATGTAGTCCCATTACCAAATTGTTTGTTTAGCTCATTCGTTGTTTCTTTAATGGCTCATTGCCAAAAGCATACAAAACTTTCTTTTATATGCGTCGCCGCATGACAGCAATTATTGTACCAATATATTATTGATAGACATGTCAAGTATTCCCATCATCGTGTGCTGTTCATCAACATTATCGTGATTATCATCTTCGATTTCAAGTTTGCTGCAATTGATTTGATTTTGGAAATTCGAATTTCGATTTCGTCGCACGTGCGAACGATTAATTTTATAGACATTTTTTATGGGCCTCTTCTTTTTTCGGGTGGTGTTGTAATCCTCCTCTTTGAAATATCCTGCGGTGCCTGCTGATTTCATCTGTCTCCCTTTATGAACTTTTTCTTGCGTTTCGTTTGCACCTTTTTTTATTCGTCGTTGCGGTTTTTTGATATTCAATATATGCCGCGCCTGCAGTTGTCACCCGTGGAGAATCCCAAAAGTAGAGGATATTGGCAAAGTAGAGGAGGGAGTGGGGAATTCCTCGACTGTCTGTTATGCGAAATTAAATACCCGGTAATTGTCAGTCGATTGTGGTAAGCATTAAGTTTACAATCGATAAAGATCTCGCAGAAAGAAAAATAAATTGTTGGGCCAGCCTTCAAACAAAAACTTATAAAATCAGGAATAAAATGCCACAGATTTCTTTTTCTACATTTCGAAAATAAAATTTGTATGTAACGACTGGATTTGTTTAGAGGCTATTCCGAAAGCACCCACTTTTGGTTCACCCGGACACTCCTCTCATCCATATATTAACCCCTTTTGCGACCACCCCGAAACGTAGGTATTTTCTCACCCGCGTTTGGCGTGCAAATCCCGACAATTATGCGGGTTTTAAAATGATTGCTAACCCAAA